GACAGCCCACCCGTTTGAACTAATAAAGTGCCAGGGGCCTAAGTGGTCACCTAAATATTAAAAAAAAAAAAAAAAAACAAATGTTAACTAATCTTACATTTGCGTCAATGATAAGGAATTGATCTGAGATTAGAGATTGGACCTGTTGAAAAAATTTTTATCTGGGTATTATTAGTTATTTGAGTAAATTATTATATATTTCGAGTAGCTATACAGTAATTATTTTTACCCGGGTCCAATCCCTATATGAGATATGTACTTCTAATCATGATGCAATAATTATATAATTAATAAAGATAATTCTATTTAATGAATTTTTTTGATATAAATTACATTATAGTTATTGTATACAAATATCAAGAGCTTTAAATTCTCCGTTATTATTACTAATTTACCAAAAATTTAATTAATATTAAATAATCGTATGTAATTAATTTAGCTTGTCTCTAATAATTGAATTAAAAGTGTTGTGTTTTCATATGGGATGAGATTATCATTACAGCAGATTAGTATAATGGATGGATGATTAAATTAGAAGCGTCATGTTTTCAAGATCATCATCAGGAAATTTTAAAACCCAATTGTAATCGATTAAAATCTGATGATTTAATCGATTATTATCACCACCAGTGGTTTAATGCGATAGAGTTTTTTATCAATTATAATCATACTTACCATTCTAGCATCAATTATGATTGATCCAACTAAATAGTTTTAAATCACTTTCAATTGATTTTATACATATCGATTATGATCAATTATTATCAATTTGATTTTATATCGGTTATTAACACTACCAGCAATGTCAATTGCTTGAAATAATTGATCATAATCGATTTACTGTTTGCAACTGACTATAATTTGGTTTCTTATTTTTCTGATTATTGTTACAACAGATTAGTATGATGGTTGGATAATTGAATTAGAAGTATTATGTTTCATATGGGATAGTATTATTTGGAGATCATTATCATGACGGATTAGCATAATAGATAAAAAGTATCATGTAATAGTATAATGTATTATAAATTTAAATATTAAATAAATTAATAAAAATATATAAAGGAATTGTTTTCAATCTTATAATAAAATTATTTTTACAAAAATTTTAATAATATTCAATAATAACTTTACCATCTATTTTATTTGATGATGATATTTTTAATAATACTCATTTAGAATCTTTATAACAACAAATAGAAGAACTTATCAATCCAATATTGAAATTATACCTATTAATAATCAAATTGAACAAGATTTTTATAATCAAGAAGAATTTAATGAATTTGATATTTCAAGTAATTCTATTTTAGATGAATCTATTTTATATGAATCTATTTTAGATGAACCAATTTTAGATGAGTCTATTCTAAGTGATGAACAAGTAAATAAATTTAAAAAAATTTATTCAAAAAATAAAATTGAAAATATTGAAAATAATAATGATTTAATTCAAAATATAAAAAAAAATTTAGATAAAAAAGATGAAGAAGCTCAATATAAAAAATTGCAAACTACAATATGTTGTAATGAAAAGTGTCTTCAAAGTAGTTTAATTTTTTATGAAAATGCTGTTAAAAATTATCAAAAATTTCAAAATTTAAATAATAATCAAAAAGATATGTTTTTACTAGGAATTTTATCTGCAACTACTCGAAAAGCAACTACTAAAGAAGGACAAGAACGTAATAGACTTGCTAATAAATATTTTTTTGAGGGAGTAGAAATTTGTAAAGAAGCATTTTTAATAATTTATGGAATTGGAGAAAAATATTGAAAAAATATTCGATCACATTTTATAGAACATGAAATTAGTCCAAGAATTCATAAATTAACTGGAAAAACTAGTAATTTTGCTATATTATTTGAAACAGTTTTGGAAGTAATTACTTTTATATTTAATTATGCAAATATTCATGGTTTACCTTCTCCAGGTATTTAATATTTAAATTTTAAATTATTATAATATAGTATAATTAATTAATTATAATTTTAATTAATAAAGAATGACATTTTCGTAAAGATACTTTATCAACAATTTTTCTTCCTTCTAGTGAAAGTTATTCATCTTTATATCAACTATATGCATTAGCAAAAGAAAAGCAAAATCAAAATATAATTCATTTAACTACTTTTTGGCGTATTTGAAATAAATATATTCCAGAAATTAAATTTCTTTCTCCTCGCAGTGATTTATGTTTTAAATGCGATTTAATTCAAAATACTAGACTAATCAAGAAACTGAATTATTTGTATCAGAATGGAATAAACATTATCAATGGGCTCAAAAAGAAAGAGAGTATTATAGGTATTTATTTTTAATATTTTTAAATATATAAATTAAATTTAAATTTATTAATTAATATTATATAAAATTATTATAATTTTATTTATTAATTAATATTTTAGAAATTGTATTAAATCATCAAAATTTGCATTACAACAAATTTCTAATTTTTCTCGATCTAATGAACCAAATTCTCTTAATTTTGAAAATCATATATCATGGGATTTTGCTGAGCAAATAAAAATACCATATTCTTCACAACAAGAGGTATAAATTAATTATTTTTTAACTATTTAATTATACAAGATATTAATAATTTTTTTATTAAAGGGAAATATATATTTTAAATCTCTTTATAATATTCAACTTTTTGGAATTTGTGAAGATGCATTTCCAATTCAAGTAAATAATTATATTTATTATAACTTATTATTATAAATTACTATATTTATTTAAAATTTTTATTTTTAGCAAAATTATTTAATTAAAGAAGAAGAAAGTATTGGAAAAGGTGCAAATGCAGTTATATCACTTGTTCATAATTATTTTACTCTTTATGGATTAGATAAAACCAATTTAATTATTCATGCAGATAATTGTGCTGAACAAAATAAAAATAATGCTATGCTTATGTATTTAGCATGGCGAGTTGCTATTAACTTACATACTCAAATTACCTATTTATTTATGGTAGCAGGTCATACAAAATTTAGCCCTGATGGATTTTTTGGTCTTCTTAAATTAAAATTACGAAAATCTGAAGTTGATAATCTTGATGATTTAGTGAAAGTAGTTCAAAATTCAACCAATAGTAGATTTAATCAAGCACAAACAATTTATGATAAAGATAAAAATCAAATAGTACATTTTTATAATTTTTATCAAAATATTTTAAACCAATTCCTAATCTTTTAAAGTATTATCATTTTATATTATATAAAGACAATATAGGTAAAGTAGAAGTTAAAACAGCAATTAATGAAGAAAAACAAACTATAAATATTATAAAATCAAATAATACTAAAATTGCAGGATTTTCACAAGAAATTTTCCCTTCAGGATTATTAGCTGAAAGACAATGGTATTTATATGAACAAGTATGTCAACATATTAAAGATCCTCAAAAACAAAATGAATATTGTCCATTACCAACTATTCCAAACCCAAAAAAATCAAATTAAAAATTTTTTATAGATTAATAAAAATTTAATATAGTTAATAACTTTTTATTATAGTATTAATAAATAAAATATAATTACAACACAATCTAAATATTTATATATATAATAATACTACACTGCATATTTTGTGCAAATAATGATTTTTTTTATATTATACAAAATGCTCAGAGCACAAATCCTTTTGCAAAAGCATCAGAAAATTTTGAAACCAGATTGTAGTCAATTAAAATCTAATGATTTTAATCAATTATTATCATCCCCATTGATTAATATGATAGAGAATTTTATAGATCATAATTATTATAAATTAAAATAAATTGAGTATAATCGCTTATAATTGATTTTATATATATTGATTATAATCGATTTTGGTTTAAACCAATTATCAACACCCCTGGGAATAACATTTGGTTGAAATCAATTGATCATAATCAATTAACTTTTTAGTAATCGATTATAATTAATTTTCAAAATTTCCTGATAAATGCCAGAGATTCCATTTAATAATGTCAATTTCCAGCCCGATTTTTCAACTCAAATTTTTTTGTTTTTTATAATAATCTACTCCAGTTATAAGCTTGCATTTAAAATCCGGTTAAAAAAACAACATTGATGAAACAAAAGCAGATTACATTACCCATAAAGATAGACTAAATTAATTACATATAATTATTTAATATTAATGATGCTATTTAAATTTTTGGTAAATAAGAAATAATAACTTAGAATTTAAAGCTCTTGATATTTGTATATGATAACTATGATGTAATTTATATCAAAAAATTTGATAAATAGAAATTATCTTTATTAATTATGTAATTATTGCTTTAGGATTAGAAATACATATCTTAGATCAATTCATTATCACTGACGCAAATATGAGATTAATTAACATTTGTAATTGATTCTCATAAAGAATTGCTATTAATACTAATCTAATCAATAAGCAATCACCCATTATTAACACCCATCTCTAATTGCTATCACTAATCACCTGGAAATTTTGCGCACTGGGGATGCTGCAGAAACACAAAATCAGATTACAAACATGAAATCGGTCAAATAGCATGGAATTGTCACTAGATACAGAAATGCAGTACAAAACACATTGTAAGATAGAGTTTACAAAATCGGTATTATCACAGACGGAATTACAACATTATAGTGACAACAATATAATGGCATATCTCCACATATGAGTGGCACAAAGAAAAAATCTGTAATTCTTCATCTAATAAGAATTACAGTTTTTCTCTTTGTGGCACTCATATAAAAAACCTAAAAAAAGAACTTTATTAGACTCATTAAAAAAAAAAAAAGTAAAAACACAAAGAAGTAAATACTCATCACATATCTCTCTACAAACACATCATCATGCTTCACCGATCTGAATTAATAACATCCTTAAAGAAAAGTTTTATACGCCCTAGAAAAAATAATATGGTAATGATAGAAATGCATTACTAAAACATCAGCAAATGAATTAACAAAGACAAAGAGTTCAGAACTTACCTAAACATCCAATTCGTAGTTCTATTTCGAGATTCAATTGTATCTGTAGCAAAAAAGAAATGTTAGTATTATAAATATTATACTAACAAAACAAAACGGAGAAACAAAGTGGTACTTACTCATATCGCTAAAGAAGTTCCATTTTCAGTTCCCGGTTCTAGTATTAATTTCTCATTCTAATAAGTTCAGACCCACAAAAGAAAGAAATGTTAATTCTCATTGAAAAGAAGCTAAACATAAGACATGAAAAAAAAACTATACTTATCATTAGGCTAGTCCCCACTTCACTTCCAAGTACAGTTTCTGTTATTCAGACGAATTTACCATCCTATCAAAACCAAAACCTGTAAAAAAAAATATGTTAGTTATATCAAGAAAAGAAGTAAACTCAAAACTAAGAGAAACTGATACTTATCAGTATACTAGTTTCCCGACCATTTGCAAATCCATTGTCTAATACCACCAAACCGCAAGAAAAAGGAATATTATTAACAAAAAAAAAATTAACAATTAAACAAAAAACAAGAAAAAGTGAACTAACCAATATTTATACAATCTTTTACTTAATAATTTGTTCCAACATTAGACCCAGAGAATCCAAACGCCATAACTGCTAATGCCAATCTAAAAAAAAAGAGCAGTCATCAATTGTTACGAACATGCTAAACATACAAACTAGGTGGTGCTACCTTGGAGGTAATAACAATTAGAATGAAACCCAAAGTTTTCTCGACCATCACACGAATGTTTCAAATCTAAAGGCAGAGGTAATAAGACAAAAGTTCAAACGAAACAAATAAACCTAACTGGCACATAATTTCCAGCAGATCTTTCACACCTTACAAATATTATTGAACTTAGCTAAAATCAAGAAATAAATTAAGAACTAATATATAAAGAGCCACAACTGCTAACTCGAAAATTACCTTCAAAAATTATCAAAGAACGACTATTGGTAAATCTATTTTTAGCATTTATACAATCTTTTACTTAATAATTTGTTCCAACATTAGACCCAGAGAATCCAAACGCCATAACTGCTAATGCCAATCTAAAAAAAAAGAGCAGTCATCAATTGTTACGAACATGCTAAACATACAAACTAGGTGGTGCTACCTTGGAGGTAATAACAATTAGAATGAAACCCAAAGTTTTCTCGACCATCACACGAATGTTTCAAATCTAAAGGCAGAGGTAATAAGACAAAAGTTCAAACGAAACAAATAAACCTAACTGGCACATAATTTCCAGCAGATCTTTCACACCTTACAAATATTATTGAACTTAGCTAAAATCAAGAAATAAATTAAGAACTAATATATAAAGAGCCACAACTGCTAACTCGAAAATTACCTTCAAAAATTATCAAAGAACAACTATTGGTAAATCTATTTTTAGCATTGTAACTGGAATATTTTATTTTTAGCACTACGGATTGTCGATCTGTTTACACGTAATTAACCGTTCAAATCCAATTATCTCAAAATTGTTTATATTCTAGTAAGGGCCCTTTCTACTGCAAAGGCCCCATATAACAACCTAAAACCAAACTTAATCTTAATATAGAATGCCCCTAACCCTAAAAGTTAATCGAAAATGTTATAAATATGAGTTGCCTCCACTTTAGACATCCTCCAAAAAAGGAAATCAATTTTGTAAATAAACTAAGTGCGTTGTAAGTAGTGTTTGTAATTTATAGGAAGACATTCGTCTGATTGGTTAATTTTTGTAGATCTACCTGTGAGTCTCCGTAATAATTAGCCAATCAAATTATCATTTGATCAATTGCGTAATTTATACGTAATTTATATCGTTTAAAGTACTTTATTCAATTTTCTAGTCTTTTTAGCTTCTAAGTGTTAATCTTTCTCTATTTAAAATAATAAAAGCATAACCAAGCACTTACTCTAAGGGAAAATATGCCACGACTTATTGGACCGTGTGTTATTACTATTTGCCAAAAAGCATCAACTCAATAGAGAAGGGTTTCTAAAAGTTTTCTTTCTAAAGCCAGATCTAACCATACTTTACCAAGTTATCTTCAATTAGGCAACACAGTTTGCTCAAACTGTTATAATAGCATTGCCGTTAACAGTTCAATTGAATTTAGGCAGCATTCTGAAGAATCAGGTCTGTTGAAGCTAAAATTGAAGTTGAAGATACTGACTCTATTTTGTTTTTTTCTCAAGCAATAGAGTTATTGACGAATATTTTATACGAGCGAGAGGTAAAAGAAAAAAAAACCAACAATATATTCATTTGATAAATTTAAGACAACCATAGAACAAAAAGATAAAAGGTTAAAGTTGTTTTTTAAAGTATTATATTTATCATCTAACCCACTTAATAAAAGCAAAAAATCACAGATACAAATAAAAAAGCAGCTTTTATTCATCTGTTATTTTCTTTATAGAATTCACAACAAGTTTGTAAATAATATGAAGAGCGATGTAGCAATGTATTTGGATTCTGTTGGTGCGTCTAATTTTTCAATAAATACCCTTGCCAATTTAGGTGTAACTACAATGTCTCATACAGTTACTCGGTATAAGACAGCTATATCTGAAGAACATGCCAGCACTGTCGATTCTGCACTTGCGCAACATATGGAAAATGCGATAGTTTTAAATATTGACGACTATCACAGCATCTATACAAAGAGGGCACCAAATACGACTACTACATC